TTTGTCAAACGTATCTTTAGAAAACGGTGAAGGGGAACATATTTTATAATTAATTAATTGGAATTTTTGAAGTACACATATGTGTTTCATAAAATTGTGGCGAAGTTTTTTGAAAGATAATTTGAACGATAATTTGAGAATAACTTGCGAATAACGAAATAAAGCTTAAAGTTATACTGTTAAATTTTCAGTATGTGCACTAACAATTCAATACGAAACGGAATACGAATAAATAAATAATATTGGTTTAACGTAGTGCAATTCAGTGTTTCGATCATTTCAATATACTCTCTGAGAAATGCACGTTGACGAGAAAATTTCGTCGGTCGTCAGTGTAGTAACTCATGCTACGTATCAAAGTCTGCCATAGTAAAAGTTAGTTAAAAAATCGAAAAAATTCCAGACTATCGTCTTACGGGGATGTACGTTTACAACCGTATTGTCGAGGATAATTCAAAGTTTGGATCGTCCAAAAAATAATTGATCGCACGAACTAGCGCGCAGTTGCCCATAGTCTACTGACACTACTGAGAATTTATTATCGCGCTAAATCTGGTACGTGTCCGATGTTTCACGGACAATTTCGCGTTCGAAAGTTCGAGAGTACGTACGTACGATAAGATACAACTGAGAGAAGTATGTACTACAGTTGCAGCTCCGGTGAAAGAAAAGGAAAAAGAAAAAAAGAAAAGAAGAAATAAAAAAAAGGAAAAAACAATGACGAAAGAACGACGCGAAGCAGTTAGGGGGCGAAGGGTGTAAAACGATAAGATGCGGCGAGCAGCAAAGATGAGGGTAAAGCTTTTCTTATCTGAATTTCAAGCGCCTGGCCTGTAAGAAGAATGTTATGCTCCTTGTCTCTCCCCACGTTGGGTTTCTCGCCACCAACGGTTGCGCGAGGAAAGTTTCGCGATATCGTCGACGACTAATTAAAGCACGGAATAAGAGCGAGCAATTAGCAGGGCGGTTCCATTTAATTTTCGGGGCGGCCGATTTAAGACGCGGCCGAGGAGGCAAGCAAGCGGCTCGTGGCATCGCATTATGCGTTGTACGTCATCGTCCGCGAAGCCGTATGTATATATATATATGTAAAATGAGACAGTGTTAACAAGTCATGGACCTAGAATCTGAAATATATATATATATGCACGGCTATTATTATTATTACTACTATTATTACTATTATTATTATTATTATTATTATTATTATATACTCACTACTATACTATAATAATACATATTATATATATGTGTATATATATAAAATATATACTATATTAATAACACATATAATACATATTATATATATGTGTATATATATAAAATATAATGTATGTAAATATATATACTATATATATAAAATAGTATAGTATACTATAAAGTATTATATATATATATATATGCATGGCTATTATTATTATTATTATTATTATTATTATTATTATTATTATTATTATTATTATTATTATTATTATTATTATTATTATACTCCATATTATATATATATAATATATACTATTATAATACATATTATATATATATATATAAAATATAATGTATGTAAATATGTATACTATATATGTAAAATAGTATAGTATACTATAAAGTATTATATATATGCACGGCTATTATTATTTTTATTATTATTATTATTATTATTATTATTATTATACTCCATACTATACTATTATAATACATTATATATATATGTAATGTATGTAAATATGTTTACTATATATGTAAGATAGTATATTATACTATAAAGTATTATATATATATAATAGTAATAATAATAATAGCCGTGCATATTATATATATATTTCAGATTGTAGGTCCACTTGTTAACACGAGCGCAATAACACTCTGTCTCATTATTATTTTTTTTTTTTTTTTTGTTTCAGGAGAAGAAATTTTCCAGGGAAGTCCTATTAACGCGTGATTAAATATTTGAAAAGCCGGTTCGAGCCGTTGGCTGAATTAAAATAAATTCTTCTCTGATTTTACAGGCGATTTATTTCCACGGGTTCTTTCACCGGGGAAGTTAATGACTTTTCTTTTACGGCCGCGCTGAACTCCAACATGCGCTCAATTTTGCCTATTTTCCGACACTGCGTCTCCATCTCTTTCAATCGCTCGATTCTAGCACCTTTCCCTCTGTCCTCATTGTTAGAAACATTCGTTTTTGAAACGCTTTCCCCGTCGTTTCTGATACCCACGTCGATAACAAAGCGAAGCTTGTCCTTTTAATTGAAGAACCGAGATACTCCGTCTCTGTCTGCTTTCGCTTCAGACGTCGTACATTAAGGTAGATTAAAACATTTGATACGAAAGTTGGAGGCTGTTGCTCCGTACGATATTAAATATATCAGGCAGGTAAGCGGTAACTTTGTTTGCGCTCCGCTGTTTTTATCCTTATTTTGATACAACGCGGCGGCAGTTGTTACGTAAGATAATTCAGAAAAAGGGGAAACTCTCGCCCAACGAATGTGAGGAGGAAACTTCGGCGCACATTTTTTTCGACTGCTCGTTTTTACAAACTTTGTGCTAAGACGGCGCGCGCCGCGCCCGGAAGAGTTATACTCCGGGTTTTAGATTCGGTTGCTGGAAGACACTGATATTTTTCTTCCTTTAAAGTACAAAGATAACTTCGTAGTCAGCCAGAGATAGGAGAATTTCCCTCTGGATTAAGGGTTGTGGTCTCCTTCTTCTTCTTCTTTTTCTTTTTCTTTTTTTTCTCCTTTCTTTTCCTTTTTCGAGCTCTTTTAATTGTTTAGTTAAAGTTCTGTTAAGAAAATCGTCCGACGAAATGTTTTCGTCCTCTCGTTGCTTGCCGGCATTGTTGAATTTTCAGTTTGAAGATATTCGATAGAAATTGCAAACAGTATCGTCGAATTTTCAAACGGAGGCATACATCGAAATAATTTCGTAGCTTGCAGGAAGACAAAGACACGTTTACTCGAGATTGATTCGACTATGCTGTTTTATTTGACGTCATTTTACAGAGAATCTCTTTTTCAACCACGTTCCGATTACTTGAAAAATTTCGTCGTGCAATACATAATTTACAGTACTGAAGTTTACGACGAATGACAATAGATAAAAACACGAATTAGTGCCATTTAATTGCAAAATTTAGATTGACAGAGACAACTCTTAGCTGTGAATTCCAGAATTTGGAAAATACAGTTGTTCAACGATTTCATATGTAATATAATTATTCTTACATTTATAATATAATAAATTATTAAAATGAAGCATTTCAGACTGAAGGAAAACACACATTATATGAATTGATCAACTTTTGTTATTCCATCTACGTTGCTACGTTATTCTATCTACTACTTTTATTATTCAAACAAACAAGAGGAAGCTAGTGAGCTTCCTTCTATTATCTGAACTACGCATATGGCAGATCGACGAGTTTGCCATGGAACGGGTAACATCGGGAAAGAAATACATAGCTTCGTTTGAAAAAAAAAAAAAAAGAAGAAATGGTCACCTTGAAATCTCAAAAGCACGTCCACTTGTCGTGACCATCAAAAGATGTGCGTCCCATTTGAAACAAAATAAGTTTCGTTCGAAACATTTTTTTTCTATGACAAATAGCTTGGGAGACGATTGCGTGGAAAGTTTCAAATATTATTCAATTTTTCCCTTTACACTCGTACACTTGCAATCGTTGCGAAATCCGAAAGTCGATCTCGAATTTTTACAATCATTACGATATTGCACCCGACAATTTAGAATTAGCATATTTTTCAATCGAATTGGACGCGCAAAGTGAATTCTTTTACACCTCGTTTTCCTTCCAATTCCTTCCCTCCCATCCTCCACTTCTTACTCTTCCGTCGCATTTCTTAACAATGAACCACTTTAATCCTGCGCGCGAGAAAAGAGTATCCTGTATTCCTCTCAGGCACCTCTACTTTCGTCGATGAATCGAGACAATTAATCACTACCGCAAATAAATAATCTTGATCTTTAATTCCTTCTGACTTTATGGCTGACGACTCATCATTTCATTGGCTGCAGGTTTTCTTTAGATTTTTACCGATCGAACGTCCATTAAATGGCACCTAATTCTAGGTAATTGAATAAATTGCATATAAATAATATCAATAATAGAAATAATAATATATTAATATTAATTAATATTTTAAAATATTAAAAATAAAATAAAATATTAAATATTAAAAATAAAATAAAATATTAAATATTAAAAATAACATGAAAATAATATTTTGAAAATATTAAAAATAATATTAAAATAATATTATAAAAGTAGTATTTTATAATATTAAAAATAATATTAAAATAATATTATAAAAGTAGTATTTTATAATATTAAAAATAATATTAAAATAATATTATAAAAGTAGTATTTTATAATATTAAAAATAATATTAAAATAATATTATAAAAGTAGTATTTTATAATATTAAAAATAATATTAAAATAATATTATAAAAATAATATTTTATAATATTAAAAATAATATTATAAAACTAATATTATAAAAAAAAATTAATCGAAAGAAAATTGTTTCTGAGGAATTATTATTGTTGCAGTATCGATCTAGAGTCTGAAGACACATGGCATCACGGGTATATTATTTATTCGTTCTTAACAGAAGAAAACTGAACAGCAAAATTCTTCAACAAATACATACACGATGTTTTGAACTTAAATGGTCAAACTTAATCTACATAGAAAAAAAGAAATCAACATATCAAATATTTCTAATTTTTTTGTTTCTAGCCTAAAATTATCCAAATTAAAATTACGTAACACCTGCGTGTAAAAATACTACAATCTTTTCCATATCAAAAATTTGATAGCCTCCGCGTGAGATAGCCTCGTCGAGATTTTCTGTATACAGGAATTTTTATCACGCCAAGCATGAAAAAATGATGAATCACGTAGATATCGGAACGACCTTGATTGACTACACTACCACAGTTCATTTCATCGAACACCGCGCTGATATCGTTTCATCGCTTCTGTCACTTGGTCAATCCACTCGTATCGTTCGACCTTCTAGCGTCGGAGAGTGACAGTATTGCAATATTCAACTTTATCCCTATGTATATTTTTTGAAAAATCAAACCTTTCTCTCTTTCTCACACACACACACACACTCTCTCTCTCTCTACCTCTATTTATTTATTTTCCTCCGCAATGAATTTCCTATTTGTTCTATCAGTGATCAGTTGCGTAATTCTCGGTGCCAATGGTGCAAGAATTTTGGCGTTGTTCCCGCATCAAGCGAAAAGTCACTACAACGTGTACGAGCCACTGTTGAAGAAACTCGCGGAGAAAGGCCATCAAGTAGTGTCAGTGTCGTCTTTCCCCCAGAACAGGCCACTGACTAATTTCACGGACATTGACATAAGCTCGAGTCTACCAAGCTTGGTCGGTACCAGGACGATACCAAGTTCGTTTAAGCCATCTAAATGGGTGAGATTGAGGGGAGTGCTTTCACTTGGCATGTCAACGTGCGACCCCGTGCTAAATTATCCAGCGTTGAAGAGACTTGTGCGGTCCGAAGAGAAGTTCGACGCGTGCATCATCGAACTTTTCAACACCGAATGTTTCCTCGGCATCGTTCACGCTTTGAACATACCGATCGTGGTCGGGGCGACTAGCAGCGTGACGCTGCCATGGACGAGCGACATCGTGAGGAGTCCCGAAATCCCCAGCTACATTCCGAACTGGATCGGCAGCCTAACAGATCGGATGAGTTTCTTCGAGAGATCTGCCAACCTTCTCGACTTTTTGCTCACCAAGTTTGCGTATAGGTAAAATGGATTGATGGTTGTTGCTAAGCACAGCGGAGAAAAATGTTGTACAATATAACGAAACAAACCTGAATGAATGCACCATTCATTTTTTTCACATTCACAATTTCATTATTTCTGAGGAATGGATAGTAAATAAAGATTTCTTCTCTAAAAATTCTATAAATTATCATAGTGTGTAAGATATCGACAGATTTTAACTCGTGGCAGAATCTACGATACTGCTCCACTTTACAAAGGAATGATCAAATTTTCCTCTTTCGCCAATTATTATTGAACTTTAAATTAAACACCGGGTCTAAGCGATGAAAATTCAAGAAATTGTAATATATTTCCTTCGTCGTGTTCGTTTTCACTCGATGTGCAAAGTTCAATAAATTGGCGAGAAGAAGAAGAAAAATCGTACAAGTTTCGATCTTCAAATCCACCGTGGATTCGGTCGTGAGAAAAATTTTTCAATGTTCCCACACCCTATGGGAATTTACATTTCCCAAATGGAAAAGTGTCTTTACTTTATCACCTATTACACGATGTAAAAACATCTCGGAAAGAAGAGGCTTGAAAAGAATCCAGAGGTTTATCAATATACTTCGATATCTCTTTACAAAATTATGACAGTTTTAATATTTATGGTGTTTGAAGTCGTTGCGCATATTTATAGAAAAGTACATTGAAAATACTTTCACAAAATGTCTCTAGATTGCTCCTCAATTCAGTTCCTCGAGCTACAATATTTATAACGAAAGTCGTTGCACATATTTATAGAAAAGTACATTGAAAATATTTTCACAGAATGTCTCTAGATTGCTCCTCAATTCATTTCCTCGAGCTATAATATTTATAGCGAAAGTCTTTGCACATATTTATAGGAAAGTACATTGAAAATATTTTCACAAAATGTCTCCAGATTGCTCCTCAATTCATTTACTCGAGCTACAATATTATAGCGAAAGTCGTTGCACATATTTATAGAAAAATACATTGAAAATATTTTCACAAAATGTCTCTAGATTGCTCCTCAATTCATTTCCTCGAGCTACAATATTTATAGCAAAAGTCGTTGCACATATTTATAGAAAAATACATTGAAAATATTTTCACAAAATGTCTCCAGATTGCTCCTCAATTCATTTCCTCGAGCTACAATATTTATAGCGAAAGTAATTGCACATATTTATAGAAAAGTACATTGAAAATATTTTCACAAAATGTCTC